TTTTTTTTTTTTTTTTTTTCTTTAGAAACTCAGAAGCTGATCAAATATCGGGTTAAATATCGGTGGGGTGGCCGATGTCCGATATTCAGTTTTAAGGCCGATACCGATAGGGGGCCGATTATATTGTGCATCCCTAATGGTTACATCACCTTAGTTGTGAGCTTCATACTAAAGGCTGTGAATTCTGGTGAAGGGACCTTATGCATGAAAGTATCAGCTTTTATGCATAAGTATCAGAATCAGCTACTATGGTGGACTCTGAATAGAATATTTTGCTTCTCTAATACATTATCCTCTGAATAAATTGTATAGTATAGTATATTTGGTATATTTAGCACATGTAGGTTGGGGTATTTAACAGCATTTAATAAGTAAGCATGTGCTACATTTCTTTGGTTTTGCCAGTGAGAAGAAATATGTAAAGCTTATAAGATTATAAAATGCCTCATTTGTTACTCAAAAAAGGTCTCTTAAACTAACTTTTTAACTTGTTTTTCCTAAAAGCTGTAATATAGCCGATTAAGAAGATAAACATAAGCTAAATCTCTGTGTCATTTTTAAGTTAAATCGATTGTGTGGAATAGTTTAGGTAAAATAATCGATAAATTGAACTAGAAGAAAATCAGTAATTCTTTGGTGATTAATAATTGTTGAGTTTTCCATACAGAAAACATTAGAAACTTTAAGTTCACTTCAGTTTACAACTAAAGCATGTTTGTGTTCTAATCAACAGTGGCTTCAGGACATCATTGCACTCCAATGTAGCATCATGAGACACTTATCCATTAATCAGAAGGTCAGATCTGCTGCATCCACAGAAAGTCCGGCCGAATTTGAGAGTAAAAAAACATGTATTGCATCAGAAGATATCAAAATTCAGGCCAGTGAAGAAAGAACCTCCCATGATCCATGCTCTAAGCCCTGCGTCATGCCCGAGTCCCCAGAAGGAGCCTTTATATCCAGGAACACAACAGCAGAGCTGGGAGTTTGTAAGTGCAGCTTGGCACCTTGTCCGAAATGTAGGAAACCGAATGGACCTCTGGCAGAACTTCAGCCCTCAAGAGCCAATGGACCCCTAGACTGTAAGGCTGCCTCAGACCCCTGCAAGCTGCCTGACCTTCAACACAGACTAAAAACTATGACAAAACCATCCTTGGAGACAGATATTCCTTCAGCGACAATGAACCACATAGGAACGGAAACGGTTAAAAAAGATCCAGAGAGTTCTACTAAAGCCTTCATTCAGAAGAACTGCCCCACAGGCCCAACAGTTTGGCCACTCAACAGCCAGCAGAACTACAGGAGCCAGACGGAGCTTCAGGAGCACTGTTTGAGCAGCGATGAAAAACCGCCGGCCTGCATCACCAGCAGCTCCTCGCCAGACTCGCCACCAAAAGTCACCGATAAGCCCAACTCCACTAAACAGGGACAGTTATCGCTGCCACCAGGTAAATATCATCATCACTGAGAAATTCTTGCAAAGTAAAAACTTTTTATTAAATACTTCTTTATCAAAGTGGTCAGATTGGTTTGAATGCCTAAAATGCAGTTTTTTCATGTCTTCAAAGGTAATACTCTGGAGACTTTAGTTTAATAAGAGCTTATTAATTTATTACCCGGCTCAGCTTTTTATAACTTATTAGGGCCAGGCTAGAGATTTTATTTCGATTTTTTATTTTTTTTTAACACAACAAAAAGGTCATAATATTATGAGAATAAAGTTGAAAAATTACGAGAATGAAGACACCCGTTTCAGAAAGAAAGCTCCGAGCATTTTATTCTCCTAATGTTGCAACTTTATTCTCATAATATTATGACTTTATGTTACAATATTATTCTCAAAATGTTCTGATTAATTCTCGTATTTAAGAAAGAAAAAAAAATCTCTACTTTGACCCTAATACTCTGTAGTAATAACTTGGCATCAAATAGTCAACTGTTTATATTTTTTTGTGAGTGAAAACTGTTTGAATCAGGTTGGCGTTTTTTTTTCATGTCTTGCCTAGATTGTATAAAAGTGTGCTTAATTGTGCTGATATTTATTTATCATTAAAAATTGTTCTAGTTTAATTTTAATTATTAATCCATTAAGCATTCTGGAGCCAATGATATAGTTTTTTTTTTCTTAACCACTTATTTGATCGTCTGTTAGTGACTATCTAATGATAAAAAAGGGCTGTTTGTTATAAAAACTGTTATATATAGTGCTTAATTTATGCCCACTAACGGACCGCCCCTAATGAGTGTCATTGACATCATGCCTTAGTTACCCTCCAGTTGCCCTTTTTATAGCACAATTCCTCCCACTGAATATGGTTAAAAAATTATGGCTACAAGTCATACAATATTGCCTGTAAGAGTTAAATTTTTGCTTACAACAAACGTTAAAGTTTAATTTCTAATACTGTAAATGGAACTATGTCGATTTAGTAATACCTAAAGCATTGCCTTTCAGAGGTTGATATTTGGTTTTCCACATGCAATACCTATAGTGTAATCAATCATTGAAACCGCTACTTTTTAGAAATTCCATCTAGACGGTTGCTAACAGACGGACTTGTTTACAGGAATTTACCATGTGGGCTCTGTAGATCATCTGATGTGGACTGGCTGGACAATTATTGTAGAATTGTACTACTTCTAAATGTTGTCAGACTCTGAGCAAGCGATTACTAAAAATGGTGACAGATGCTGGTAACCGTTGTTTATTTTTTAGCACAAATGATGTTTCTTTGGGGGTTGGGCAGTCCCCATGGTGAAATGGTTGAAGTCTTTGACTGTAATGGACCCAGGTTAATTATCTGGGTTGCATTAGGAAAGGCAAAAGAAGACATCCCAATTAGTGGTGTCCATGTTTTTAGTCAGACACAAAGATGCCCATTTTCTGTGTTATCACTATCCGATGTCAGTTAAATCTAACTATCATGTCTTCAAAAAATATTTACAGATGTAAAAATATTTACTTCAGCTCTCATAATCTCTTCAAACAGATTTTTTTTTTAACTACCAGCTGATGAATTGCCAAAATTGCCATATTAGCCCCGAGTTATTTTTTTTACTAGCGCTACGAGTTGTTACAGCTGATTCAGTTTCCTTCTTACTGACCCCTTTATTTTTTTTTGTGAAACTTAAGTCTAAACCTAGTAGAAAACACTTGCTTGAAACTCTGTGTTTACAAATCACAATGATAAATGGTCAACACCACTTGTAACTATTGCTGAAAATATATTCTAAAGATGATATCAAACTACTGCTGCCTTGATCGCAACAAGAATCAACTCGAAACAACAAATATGAACAGATCCCCAGTCACCACATTACAGGACAGCTAAGGATGATAACAATATTCTACACTTCTGTTTCTGTTACCATGACAACTATAGTTGCTTAGCGGCATGCATCCCCCTGTTTACTTTAATAATCTACAATCTACCCACATTATTTTCAAATCAAAAAATTCTAAAAACGCAGACAGCTTAGTGGGGCTGGCAATCGTATTGGAATCTTGATTATGATCTTGGTTTTCAGCGATCATAAAATTTAATTATCTGATTATTTGTTTATTATTTACATTAGTTAAATAATGTGTAAGAAAACTTGTTTTGTTTTTATCGTTCAGTATTTAATACATAAAAATGTTGTATGATTTACTTTTTGTTTTAAACTCAGCATATTGTAAAAAATGATATTTATCTTGTTATGGAAAGCTCCGCATGATGGAAAAACCTCCTTTTTTTTCCTATTACCATATTTTCACGACCATAAGGCGCACCGGACTATAGGGCGCGGGTTTTATATACAGGTACATATCCTCTACTACGTTTAAATACCTCTACTGCGTATTTAAAAATAGAGCGGGAGCAAAACTGAGTATTTTTGTGCTTTATTCATGTATTTATTACAAAATATTAATCAAACCCATCAAAGTCATCATCCTCTGTTTCTGAATTAAACAGCTGCGCTAAATCAGACATGCTAATTTCCCCTTCTTCGCTGTCAGAGTCACTTTCCGTGCCGTGCGGCTCCTCGGAAATGATGCCGGCTTTTGCGAAAGCTCCAACAACAGGGCCAGCAGACACGTTAGTCCAAGCATCTACAATCCATCCGCATACTGTGGCGTAACTTGCCCGGCGCTGCCTTCCACTTTTCGTGAAACTGTGGTCTCCGTCGTTCATCCATCGCTCCCACGCCGCTCGCATTCTTATTTTGAACAGCCGGTTCACACCGATGTTGAGCAGCTGAAGTTCCTTTGTCAGACCTCCCGGAATAACAGCAAGCACAGTGTTCATTTGTTTTATTAATCTTGAATTCTCTCGCGGCTGCTCGATTTCCATGTTTCTCTGAGTAGCTGATAGCCTTCAGTTTAAACTGTGCTTCATAGGCGTGTCTCTTTGCCATCTTCAGGGTTGTTATGACAACAATGGTCTGCATAAATCACATACCTGTTCTTTTATTCACAATCCACGCCCACACTTCCCCCTTTAACGTTCTCATGGCGGTCTCAACAACGTCCGCAGTAACACATAGGGCGCACCGCACTATAGGGCGCGTCGCACGTTTTGAGGGGGGGAAAAAAGACGTTTATATGCGCCTTATAGTCGTGAAAATACGTTAAATACAGGCACCTTTTAAAATGTTGTTAATTGGTCGATGAAATCATGTAAGTTTAATCCACTAATGGGTAACTTACATCCCTTTTACATCCAATTGCATTTTTTTTTTTATCAACCTTTATCTGACACTTGTAGACTAAATCTAGCTGTTACTGATGGCTAGAGCTGTCAAGTAAAAAGGCACCACAGCCTGTTAGCAGACTTAACTTTTGTTCTACTGCTGCTATTAAAGGAAAAATAATTGACCCCCCCCCCAATTTTATCTTCCACAGATGTAAAAGTTGATTCTGGACTGATGGACTCATTGGTGCCCAGTACACTCTCCTCTCACTCAAACCTTTCCACGTTCATAAACAGTGCAAGAGACGTAGCAGGTAAGGTGCTCAAATAATGACAATTGTCATGGTAACTCAGGTAAAGCTATGGCGTCTTACCTTGTGCTGATGTCTGTGGATGTGCAGGGATTGAGCTGGACAAGTTGGATGCAGAAATGATTAAGCTCCTGGCCTACCAAAGGATCCAACAGCTCTTCCCCCCCAAAGTTCTCAGCCCACCTCCTCCTCCAGCCTCAAGCACTTCCTCAAAAATCCCTCCCCCGCACCATGACGGTATGAGGGATTCCGTCTTCTATGCTTTACATTTTACTCATTTTCACTAACAGTTGGTTAAAACGATAGCTGCTCTCTCTGCAGGTCAGAGAAAGGTGCAGGCACGAGCTGTTTTCTATCCTCTGGCAGGAAGAGGAGAGACTGTAAACATGTGCTACAGGACATTGTACATAGGATCTGGTAAGACATACAGATTGCTTCCAACTATATCAGGTTGCTAGTTTGCTCCATAAGCTGTCTTCATCTCTGCTCATTGGACAGGTTTCCATCAACCTTGTTTTGTTTTGCACATTTTCAATTATTGCTTTTGAAGATCTTGATGGAATCTGCAAAATTCAAATAAACTTAGAATATTTCATGACTAAATGTACCCTCGCTCAAGGTGGAGCGAGCGAGCGTTGGAGGGAAGATGGAAACGCATTTTTCCAATAGATCCTAACCTGGAAAAAAAAAATGAACCTCACATGACTAATCAGCTTTTTCAGCCAAAACCAAAACCCCTCAGGCTCGGATGGAACGAGCTATTAGTTCATGTCGGAGCTTATTTAAAAAGTATTTAGGGGGGATTTTGGATACACTTATGGTGCATTTTAAATGAACGAAAAGTTTTTGTTTTTTCTTTCTATGAATAGACATCGTTAAATATTGTATTTTTTGCATTGCAATTGCAGTGTTCTAATTTTGCCTGAACTCAATGCATTTTTTTTCTAAAAGGTGCCGACATGGATGTGTGCCTTACGAACTACGGTCACTGCAACTTCATATCGGGAAAACACGCCTGTATTTTCTACGATGAGGTATGAGCTGCTGTCAGACTCTGCCTCTTGTACTGCACTTATTTTCCTGTGAAATGCAGGCCTCACAAATCTGCTTGTTGTTTTGTATGTCATACAGAATACAAAGCACTATGAGCTCCTCAACTACAGCGAACATGGTACAACAGTGGATAATGTCCTTTACTCGTGTGACTTCTCTGAGAAGGCCTCTCCGCCCCCACCCAGCAGCCTTGTAGCCAGGGTCCAAGGAATAATCCGTAAGTTATTCTGTGATTAAAATCAGCTAAACCCTCACATAATATGAAATGCCAAAAACACAACTTGTATATTATAAAACTTTTCTTGCAACTAATAAAAAAAACTTTTGAAACTTTCTTGATAGTTTGGAAAATGAAAATGGCCATTTTATGTGACATCATTGTTAGGTTTATTCAATGATGATTATAAAGTTAATGTTTGTACATATGGAACATTGGAGAAATGAGATGCTTCACTCTGTTTACTGCAAACTGTCATGCAACGGTGGTAGAGAATTGCTGATGTTTGTGCAAAGATAATCACAGTTATCAGAAGACCACTCAATTCTGTTATTCAATCAGAGGAGCATTTTGTCCTATGACTCTTGTCAGAAGAACACTCTATTTTGTAACCCACCCCATGTGTTATGATCTGCTAATAAAAGGGCTGTGCAGAGGAAGTCAGTCAGAGAGTAGATGTAGCTGAGTGTAGCTCTCTCCTTCTGCAGAAGCCGTTAAAAAATCCCTCTTCTGTGTGGACTCGGTTTCTCTTTTATGAACCTATATTTTTGAACCTAACAATCATCTAAAACAAGATTTTAAGTTTTTCTTTTGAGTTATTGGGATTTTTTTAAGCCCCTGTCACATATTGACGATTTAGACAGCGTATGCCTGATGTACTGAAAATCTGGCCAAAACGCTGGCATATGTTGGATAAGTTATGGGTCAATGTTGTATAAGTTATGAGCATTCTGAAACATGCTGGCACATGTCGAAATATGGCAAATACGTAGAGAAGCATTTACTCATACATGGGCCATAAGTTACAGGTACGTTATTAGATCGTTGACATATGTTAAATGTAAATTACTCATACCTATGAATAGCTTCTCCTGCAGACTGCATCCCCATCATATATGGAAGCGAATCATTACCATTTTTCAAATGAAAAAGCCTTTCAAGAACGGCTTTTTCATTTGAAGAATGTGGCTGCATTGTTTGACTCATAAACAATGTCAGAAATTTCTGGAAATGCTTTTTCATTTTCAAATTTTACATTTCAAATTTAATTTTGGTATGTATTAGCTGGGGTACATTTTGAAAAATAAATCTCAAATGTCTTTTTATTTTTTATTTTAATCAAATAAAAGGATGAGCAGTGTTAAAGAAGAAAATGAAAATGCAAACAGGATGATTGATTACTAATTTCATTTTTGAGTCAAACAATGCAGCCACATTCTTAAAATGAAAAAGCATTTCTGGAAATGCTTTTTCATTTGAAATATGGTAACAAATCACTTCCATACTCATAGGGTGAGACTGCTGCAATTGCAAACCTTCTTTCTTTTTTCTTTTTATTTATTCTGTTTTGTTTGGGTGAGTGCATCGCTGCGCAGCTTTAATTGATGCTTCGTAACGCCCGTGAAATGATGCTTGTGCATCATATCATGGCCGTTACGCTGCCAGGCGTTATGCATAACTTAGGCTGTTGTTGGACATAAGTTCTGGACTCGTTATGAATACTGTATGTATACGCTCAAAATTGAAAAAAAAAAACAGAAAGTTCAGCGTTTTAGGAGATTCTGCCTCATCGGGCATACGCTGGCTAAATCGGCAAGGAGTGACAGGACCCTTAAAGCATGTGGAGGATAGCAAACTAAATTTAACCCGTCAGTATTTCATGAGGTTTTCATAAAATAGAGGCATATTTTTTAAGTGTACATAGTGGTTAAACATGCGAAATAAGTTATAATGTAAAATAAGAAAGTAAGATTAAATGCATAATACCAGAGCAAAATAAGTAAGCATAAATGTATAGTACCAGATTAGTGTGTTCTTAGTAAATAAAATGATTTTAACAAATCATCTATAAAGCGTTAAGTCGCCATTGGCCCCTTTGATGCTGAATTGAACCGACATAAATCTGATTTAGTGAAAGGACTGGTGTGACATTATAAAGGCCAAATTGCTGCTGAGAGATCATCCTTCCTTCAGAAAGGATTGATTTATTTGCAATGTGGGGAACATTTTCATGACGAGTTCATATTACATTCTTTATTTTGTTTTGTTGTTGATCAGTGTGCCTTTCCAAAATAAATCAATTGTAATTGAATGAAAATAAGGATAACTTTCTGAAGCTGCTTAAATGTTGTTTTGTTTTTTTCAATAAATTTTTTTTTTGTCTAATATGCAACATGAACTTTATCTGGTGCTTTCTGAAAAGTAAATTAAGAAATTAAATCTGCTGACTAATTATTAGTATGCAAATGTTGGCTGTTTACAGTTGCTTTTATCATGTTGGCATTTTCCAGCCCCCCTCAGTCTAACTCTGTGATGTTTCCAGGTCGCAGCAAGAAAAGAGAGGATGACAAGGCGGTTGGTTTTATGCCAGCTGGGGGCGTGATGAGCAGTCAGCCTCGGGGCGGCGTGGAGTCGGCATGCAGCTGTAAAGTTAGCAGTTCCAGCCTCATAGGTGGCAGCGGTGCAGGCTGGGAGGGGACGGCTCTCCTGCACCATGGAAGTTACATTAAACTCGGCTGCCTTCAATTCGTCTTCAGCATCACAGAGTATGCCGACGAACTGCCAAAGGAGGAGAACGCTGTTCTTCACCCTTCCTGGTGCACAAGTTCCACCTTGAGCAGTGATGGTATGACAAGTGCTGCTCCTGCCTCCACCTCCACACCCCCACCACCCACCGCTGCCATGGTAAGCAGCCCCTCCAGCCAGGATGAGGCAGACACCGAGTCTGCTACTCCCCACCAAGTGCCCGTGCTGCGCTTCAACTCCGTTCCATAACATGTACGGGACATGTGTTCTTCTGTTTTATTTTGCACCTTCAGTGTCACAAAAAGGAGAAAACTACATTGCAGGACGGTCAGCCGTAAAAGCCGCATCCCCCCATTTCAAATTGTTTATATTTGCATGAACTTGAAGTGTTATTGACAATCCCTTCTGTTTGAGAATGACTGACAGTAACTTTGTTTTCACTTGAGACTGTTAGTACCTTGGGAAAAGATTTACTTGAGCTTATTTACTTTTTACATTATATATTAGTTATTTGTAATATAACCTTGCTGTGTCGGTCAGAATCATTTAGCAGTAAACCTTTTGCTAGTATTCCATGCGTTGTTTTTGTTATGTTTGTTTGTTTTGCTGCTTTTGCACCACAGGTAGTTATAAATTTATGTAAACATACATGCTTACACACTATGTAAACATACTGTAAATGTAGAGAATTCAATGTTCCTCAGTTAGAGGAACTTTGAAACCATGTAGATTTACCATGTTTTTTTGTTTTTTTTACTGTACAGTCCATGAAAATTGAGATAACGTGTAGACTACCTTTAGTTTTGTGATACAACTTGTTCTTATGTACTTTCTGCTCTTGTTCATCTGTCAATACCATATAGTTTTAGCACTCATTTTAACATCATGTGTTGCTCTGTATATATATATGCATTCTTGGTCTATATTGGCTTGTCTGTTAAAAAAAACTGTAAATACAGAAAGATTTTTTAACAACCACCTGATATTTAGTTTTTTTATTGAGGATAAATTACCTGCAGATTGATCAAGAAGGATTTGTTGTTGATTTCAGAAACTTCAACAACATGGAGGGGAGAGATGGAACTAGGTATAGCGATAAGGTATTCACAAAATCTACACTGATTGGAGGGGACCCATCGGCCCTTGCCTTTTACCCAACAATATGTTTCTGCTTATTTTAGTGAAGATTCTCAGTCATCCAGGTCATAGTCATTCCAAAAAAAAAAAAGAGTTAAGAGCAATCCACTGGACTTTGTTTCCAAGTATGAAGACGTTTCGCTTCCCATCCATGAAGCTTTTTCAATTCAAAATGTCTGGAATAGGGTTGAGTTTGAGGTTTTATACAGTAGCCAAACAAAGCCCTGTTTTTGTTTTGGAAACATGCAAATTGAAACAG